AAGGCAAAAAAGAAGGCAAAAGGCAAAAGAAAAAAAGCAAGCAAGGAAAAGAAGAGTAAAAAGGGAGAAGTCAGAAAAGGAAAAAGAAAGGGGAAAAAAGACAAAAGAAAAAAAAGGCGCAAAAGAAAAAAAAAGAAAGAAAAGAAAAACGAAGAAAAGGAAAAAAGCAGACTAGCAAAAAAAAAAAAAAAAAAAAAAAAAAAAAAAAAAGGAAAAAAGAAGAATAGAAAAAAAAAAAAAGAAAAAAAAAAAAGAAAAAAATCAAACCCAAACAAAAAAAAAGCGTTCCCCAAAAAAGGAAAGAAAAACGGCTAAAAAAAAATAGCTCCCCTCCAACAAATAAAGTAAAAAAAAATAAAAGGGGGGAAAGGGGGGAAAAAGAAAATAAAAAAAGCAAGAAGCCCGGTGTGACAGGGACTGCAGCAACACCCCGGCACAGCCTGTGTGGATCTTTGATCTCCTGCATCGCATTAAGTAACAAAGAGCAGAGGAGTTTGGAGATGCAGGAGCTGGGCTGCTCTGATCCCAGCACCGCTCCGTCCCATCCTGGGCTCTGCATTTCCAGCCCTTCCAACAGGACTGGTATTTTTACTCAGGATTCTTTCAGTTGCGCCCGATTCCTTTAATTAGCTGCTCGTAGCCAGGGTGGTGTTTACTCCTGGAGTATCTCCTGTGAATAGCGGGGGCACTTTACCCATTAATGGTGCTTGAACAGCGTTTAGCCCAAATCGCCGAAATAGTTAAATCTGCAGGATGCAGTTTGCAGTTTCTCCTCCTTTAAAATGCTCCCACATTTCTTTCAAAGGGTTATTAGTGTTTATTTTATTAAGGCAAGGTAGGGAAGGACTTACACCCGGAGTAAGAAGCTGTGAGTAGCCACAGCAGGTTCTGTGTGTGAGCTTACACGCAGCTTGTGTGCTCTCACAAAGCATCTCAGCGCCAAATAACCAACAAAGTTCTTCTCCTGCAAATATTTGGGCACACATTTACTACAAAACATCCATCGTTCCGGGGCTGCAATTAAAAAATAAAAAAAAAAATCACCTTTGAGAAGATCCTAGAAAGCTCTGGATTCCCACTTTCTCTGCTCCTCTGCTATGAGTCTTTCCCCTTCCGTCCTATTCCATTATGTGGCTCTAACGCAGGGCTGAGGCATCAGCTCACCTTCCTCCTGTGTGTCCGTGCAGCCAAAAATCTGCAGCAGGAAAAGATTTCAGGAAGGCTTTCCAAAGCAGGGGGGTGAAAAAAAAAAACCAAACCAGCGTAAGGGCTGCAAAAGCTCCATGCCTGCTCAGAAATAAAGGGGAGATACTTGGGGAGATACTAATAGAAAAATGAGAATTATTTTTTAAGAGTGATGTTGAGCACGTTCACTTCGTGCCTGGAGCTGGGGACACGACAATTAGTACATCTGACGTTTACAATGCAGATGTTTACGATGTGAATAATAGATGGAAAGAGAGGGAAAACGTTGTTGTTTTGGGGAAAATATGGAACAGTTTGATCTGGAAAACACCCGAACTTTGCTCAAGCCACCAGGCAAGTATGAAGGGGATTGCTCTTCATGCCCAATTTAAATCCTGCAGCACAGAAAGTCTGAAAAATCATACATTACAGACAAAAATATGGTTACTGTAATAACAGGGTGTTGCAAGAATTGTAAAATAAATTTGGGGGTAGGAGGGTGCACCCTTTAGGGGAAAACAACGTGAATTTCCAGGAGCAGGGTTGTGCAATGATTCTATATTTTTAAAACCTGCCTGTGCTCCATTCATACTATTTAAGTGCTTCAATCAGCACAATAAATGTAAATACTTTACTGCTTCGCAAATAGAAAATTGGGCAGAAAAGTGATTTTTGAGGAGCGACTTGGCTCCCTCTGCCCAGTGATTTGGTGCCCTGTAAAATGCATCTGACACTGCTGTTCATTAAGCTGGTGCTATTGAGCCTTCTTCACATTCATTAGTGATTAATTCAGACAGATATTTAACTTAATAAGGTAAGCAAATAAACAAAAAAATCACTTTCTGTGCCTTAAGGTTTTTTGGCCCTCTAATTGGTTTTGTGCACTAATTATCAAGATTAACACCTTACGCTTTTCTCGGTCCTTACACTTAGAAATTCCCGGTGGGAAAATGTAACCAACCTTAAGGGAATCCCTGAAGTGCAAGGGGTTAAGAGTTTGTCTTTTAAAAGCAAGATAAGCAGGAAAAAAAAAATCTAGGAGAGCCTGATTCCAGGTGAATTTTAGATAATAACAGGATGAGGAGGCAGGAGCTTGCGTGGATACACACACAGTGACACTCGTGGCTTTTTACGGGTGTGAGGGGAAGGTTTGCAAGGGGATAATTTGTGTCTCAGCATCTTTGAACAAATAACTGGGATCTCCCAGCTTTCTCACCCCGATTCCAAACTCCGTATCCAGTGTTGGTGGCACATCCCTCCTTCTCACCAAGAGTTAACCACCGGCCTCCAGAAGATCCTTTCAACTCCACTTCCCACAGAACCCGAGGACTTGATGTCAGTGCCAAGGCATTGTGATTTCCTTCGGCTGTTCAGGGCAGTGACATTGTTCCAGGCGTTGCCTGAAATTCCCCCACAGCCAAGCCTGACCGTGTCCTCCTCTTACCTTAGTCTCGGATCAAGGAAACCCTTCTCTCTCCAGGCAGATGTGGCAGAAGCAGCTGGGTGGGAGCAGCACCCTCCACCCAGCCTGACTCCACATCCCTGGGAGCTGGAGCATCCTCCCAGCACCCAGCTCTTCCTGCCACATGCAAATGTCAAAGTTTGTCTCTCTCCCGTCTTGACATCCCCTCAGAAAATGCTTATAAAGTGCTGATTCAGTGTCTCTCCTGCAAATGTCTCCTTGCCTGCTCCTACGAGCCAAGCTAAAACCTCCGTTGGATTTCACCTCGGGAAAGCTTTGGGAAGGGCCACGATGTGAAGTTCTCCTCGATCTCAGGCACGAGGGTCATTAAAACTCATTTTAGCCAAGGTGCTGGTACAAGTTGTTGCCCGTGACAGTTTGTCACCACCATGTACAATATTTGCTAGGCAGGATCCCAAAATATCCAGCTAATTGCCACTTTTCCTGCCGTGGGAAGTCTCACAGATTTACCCAGCTCCTGCCTTGAACCCTATTGCACTTTCCAGTAGTGGTTTTTTTTTTGGGGGGGGGGGTTGGAGCATTTGGGGATTTTTAAACTCCTTTTCCTTTAATTCTTTTCTTTCTTTAATGGGTGACTGGATAAATTCAGTGGTGGATTTTTGTGACACTAAAGCAGCAGATAAGTCTATGATGCACTCTAGCTATGTGGTTTAAAAATCCCTTACCATATGTTTTCTCACTGGAATGCCTCATCTTGCAAAATTACAGGAACCGAAGCTTAAAAACACAATTAGGTAGTTTAAAATGAAATATTAAAGAAATACCACATATTTTCTGATATGCCTGCGATGGTTTTCCTTGATTTTTTTTCCCCTTTCTTTCTTTTTTGTTTTTTGCTTTCTTTTGTATTGTTCTTTGAGTTGTTCAAGGAGCCCAACTGTATTCGATTGTTGTACTAATCATGCTCCACATTTTTCTGATTAGGTTATATAGGCTGTGGTTAAATTATAAATGAAAGAATGAACTACCAGAGTACTTGTCATAACAGTATCTTTTATGTTGTTACAGAAGATTGGGGGGGAGGAGGAGGAATCAAAAAGGGCTTTCTGCGATGAAGATTCTCCTCTCCTATTTTGTGCTCCTTATAGGATCTGTATAAGACAAGGAATGCAATTTGTTGGAATGTTTTTCTCAGGTATTCTGAGAACTACAGCACAATATCTGTCCACTGAGAAAAATGTGAGAAAAAGGAATCCATAATACATAAAGATGCATATTGTAGCACAAACTGTGGCGTGCACACAAACACACCCTCTCCAACTCCACTTTATTCCATTACTCTGCTCTAAAAGCCACTTGAACTGTTTTATTTTTTTTTTCTTATGCCATACGGGAAAATATTTCCACATTTGAAATGATGCCTTACACTGTTATCTCCTGTCCCACTGCATGTGCAGCACAAACCCAGCTGAACGTGTGTCTGGTGATGGGATATATTTTTGTTTAGAGGACACATTTTTGTTTCCATGCTGTTATTTTAAGCCATTGGCTGTAAAACTGATTTTAGGGAGAGCTGGAATTGTAATGATTAAACTACTTGACTGAAGGCTCACCTTGAAGACACTGGTGGTTTAAAAATATATTTGATACTCCTGAAATTAAATATATTGTTTAAACATTGTAGCATTTTAAGCTTCTTAGTACAATATTTAAAATAATAAATACAAGGAGAATGGGGGTTTGCTGTTAAATTTTATCCTTTTCTTAAACACATCATTATTTTTTCTCAAAGTTTAGCCAGTTAAAGCAGGGAGGTGGAGAAGGAGGCAGAGAGGGAAGCCTGGAGACATGAAATAGATTACACCTTGCATTAAGCCATGCATTTAGCTGTTTTCCAAGGATTTTAAGGCAGAGCTCCTCCTCGGATGTTCCCCAGCTTTAAACAAAAAGCCCTGCACACAGATTGCTTTATGCTCTTTATTGCAGCAGATAAATGGATCCTTAAACATATCAAGGGATTTTTGATGAAAAGGAGATGCCAGGAGATGGCTTTAATTGCCAGATGCCCGGGCTGGGATGGGCAGGGGCTGTGTGGGGCAGCCAACACGTGTTCCCTCAGCCAGACGTGCCTGGGAGCGCTGCTTTTTGCACCCCTGCAACCAGCCTTAAGGGTTCTGTTTTTTGGGGCTTTATTGGATGAACTGTCAATGCTTCCCAGGATAACAAATCTTGTTTTATAGCACTTGGTGGAGTTTGGTTCGGGGCTACCTCTGAGCAACATGAACTTGGCCTTGCTGTGTGTCTTACACTAATACCTTCCCTCCTGTAAGGAATCAGGGTACTTGAGAAACAGCCTGCAGCCATACAGCTGATTATTTCACCAAATTTGCATCTTTTCAACAGTAATGGGGATGGCTTTCACAAATGCTCCCAGGCTCTAAATAGATGTTAAGTGGCTGTTTCTAGTTGCTTCCTTCCCAGTCCCCCTTGGGCGCTCCCAAGCCCCTGCCCATGGCACCCAGGACCTCCTGCCTGAGGGAGGGATGCTCAGCCTCCTTCTCTGGAGTGTCTTTCAGGGTCAGGAGTGCCCAGGGGTGTCCCTTGGAGGAGCTGGGATTGCTTTTTGGGTGCCCTGAGCATGATGCTGAGGAGGCATCTGTGTGAAGTAGGGCCTGGAAAGAGGTGGTGAGCAGGGAGAGTATCTGGATGGCAGCGAGGGACACCAGGGTCCCTGAGGATGGAAAATGGGAGGACCTGGAGGGATGCATTTCCTCAGGGGTGTCTCCAGCATGGGCTGGGACTGAGGAGATGGACTTCAGTAGAGCTACGGCCTCTAAGGCAGAAATTTATTGGACTCCCAGTGCTTGCATGCAGCCCTGCAGAGGTTCCCCAAAATCCATTCCTCTGTGGGTCGAAAATTCAGTGGACAAACAATCCAGGGACTGGATTCCTACAGTTCCACATTCCAATGCCAAAGCCTCATTTCTCTGGAATCTGAACCCTTTTTTGCCTTTCTTTAAAATGGGTGCCTACTCCTGATGTCTTACAGATCCTACACAGAGGAACAGCTTGTTTAATGCATGTTGCCCAGAGAAGCTGTGGCTGCCCCGCCCCTGGAAATGTTCAAGGCCAGGTTGGATGGGGCTTGGAACAACTTGCTCTAGTGGAAGGTGGTCCTGCCCATGGCAGGGAGTTGGAACAAGATGGTCCTTAGGGTCCCTTCCAACTTAAACCCCTCCCTGTTTCTACGTATGCAAAGAGCTCTGTGTTCCAGTGGGTTATCCCAGGACACTCATGCAAGTAAGATGCTCCAACTCCCGCCACACCTTAGCCACAGCTTCCCTGTCCCTTACTGGCAACTGTGCTATTTCCCATGGATGAAGAGTGTGGGGATCAGGGTGAGATCATGATAGGAAATACTATATTCTGCTTTTGTTCCCACTCTAAATGCTGTGTTGTCCATCATGGGCTTACAGCACCTCTTCCCCTTCCCTGCATTTTTTAAGTCCAAAGCAGTGCCAGCCTGATAAAATCTAAAACCTTTCTCCCAAACTATAGTAAAACATCAATACTGGTCTGTCTTAAAATCCACAGAAGGAAACTTAAGGATTAGAGTAAAGCCTTATTCTTAATTTATCTGTCGTGCCTAAGTATTTCAGCACATAACACTCCTCTGGAAGGATCACCCACAATTTGGAGTTTTTTCCCTCGTTTAGGCACCTTGGGCTGAGTTAAAAGGCCGAGAAAACTTGCAGAACTGTTGTATCTAGCTGAGCACTCATTATAAAATGGATTACTGGTACAGTAAACCATAAAGACTGTTTTAGAGCCATTAAGGTTCAGCTTGTCACTGCTGACATGGACACACTCTTACACCATATATTCCTGACATGTCAGGAGGTGCTTAGGGATACTTTCATACATGTTTTATTGAAATGACAGGCTATAGCTTCTTTGCCTGCTGTATATATGCATGGCTATATGCTAGAAATCCAAATTAAACCCTCTTGAAGAAAAAAAATAACCCCCTTACACATGTGGAATTAGTCCCATCTTCAGCGATAAAGTTGTTACCTACATTTTATTTTTAATGTACTTTGTAATGGAATAATGAAATCACATTTATACCTGGAATAAAATGTGGCTGAAATCAATGAGGTTTACACTGAAGTGAATTCTGCAGTTGATAAAATGTGAGTTCAAAACCAAAGCAATTTCGGATAAGAATGAAAAAAGTATCAAACCCTCAGATTTCCCTTCTGAAGGCGTCTTTCCATCTGTATGCAGATCAATTGTTTCTCCCAGGCTGAGCTTTTGACTTGTTAGGGCTTTTTGTCTTTCAGATCCAAGAAAAACTTTACATACAATTATGGTGCCTTGAAAATAAAATTTTTAAGTGGAAACACCAAGAGAGTCGTAGCTGCAGAGAGTAGGATCTCACAAACGTTGCAGGGCTAAAACTCACCTTCGTTAAAGGTTCAGAACACAGAAGGAATGTAGGATTTGGTCCTTCATGTTCTTTTTCTAAGCAGTTGCTCCAGAAAAGCAAGTTGAAACTTTTGGCCTGTGTGAAAGGGGTATATTCCACGTTTTGAGATTAAACAGGGGATATATCTGTCTGATAGAAGATCCATGGCTGGAACGCTTCTCCAAAAGCTGCCACCAACTTTGGCTGCTTTCTCGGTTTCTGAAAGAAAACTCCAGGAAAAATGATGGTGGAAGTGAGGAGCTCGTGCTGATTTGAGACTGGATAAGGTGAATTATCCTTTGCTGGTGCTGGAAATGTGGATTTGTTTTATTTTTCACAAACTGCAACTTGGAGACCACCATAACTGATCCTTGTGATAGGATAAGAGGGAATGGCTTTAAACTGAAAGAGGGTAATTTTAGAT